GAATAAGACAAACATTAATCTTCTCGCTGGTAGTCTTTAAGTCGATTCAATCGAGCAAGTTGAGCGCGTCGCTATTTACAGTTTAATTATCCGTAACACGTTCGTATTCTTTCGTATCGGACCTCATTTCTTTATAAATAAATTTAAACACACACACACGCAGAAAGTTAATTAATCCTCGAAGAAGCAATCGTACAAGAATTACTCGCGACGGCGATAATTTCTGGACGATCCAAGTGCATTGATCTAAGTATATTTCATGTAATTTCTAACATTTCATGGTATATGTACGATCGATCGATCAAATCGAGGTCAGCTCGGAACGAAGGAAGCCATTGATTTGATCGGTCCGGGAGAAGAACGACACTTAAATTTTAACAACAAATCGATCGCGCGCTTCGGAATAAGATTGTCCGGGCCGGGGTTCTGGAAATAACGCATCCCTCTCTCCCTCAATATATCCTCTCTTCACCATTTTTCTCTTCCGTCACCGCCACCGCCGCCGCCGCCGCCGTCGTCGTCGTCGTCGTCGAAGGGAGGAAAAAGCGAGGGCGAGGGTTGGTACATTAGCAATGTTTTGTTGACACTGGAGAACAACGACGAAGCCATTACTGGCTTCTGCCGACGCGATATAGCTCTTCGATCCATCGAGAAAGCCTGCGAACGGCAAACCTCGCTAAAGAGAGCAACTCTCTTTTATTTCTTTCTCTCTCCCTCTTCCCATGAAACCGAAACATTTGTGACCATTGTTCAAATTATTACTCGTAATAATTCAATTATTATTCGAATTTAAATGCCTCGAGAAAAAGCGTTTTTTAATTTTATATTCTTAAAAATAATTGTAATACTTGCTCTCTTCTCTGTCTGTTATCTTCTAATATCGCGGGTCAACCGAAAAATTAAAAAATTCCGGAGACGATAAATCGGTCGCGGAATGTTCGTGATTTTATCTTTATTTATTTCCGACGCCGCGACGTGAGCGCTCCCTTCGTCGGAGAGCGCAGCCGAGAAGAGAGAGAGAGATCAGCGAGTTTCTCTGATCTGCGGAGTTGCGACCGGCAATAAAGACGTTTTTAAGCGCCACGCACGCGAGAGCGCGGCCGCTGTCGCAAAAAGATAAAGCGACGAAAAAAATTTATATATATGTATACAGCGTGTGTGCGGCTGGGAGTTTATTTTTGACTGTGCGAAGAATGAAGGCACAATGCACTCGTGAGACGCTTCGCGTCTCGCTTGTTTGTCGCCCCGTCGATGATCGAGAAATCGACGCATTTCATCAGGTGTCACGCGAACGTCCTCTGCGCGAAAAAAAAATTCTACTCACGCGCCGCGAGTACACTTTACTTTTTCTACAAGCCGAACGATAGAATCGATATTTTCATTGAAAAGAACTGACGATGTTTTCCAATTTTAAAGAACGCATCGTAAACGAGCGTCCGTAGCGCGGCAGCATCGATTTTCATCAATTAAAGATTGTACATACATTCGTACATTTTATATATATCGCGATTCGATAATTCGCCTTCGTTAATCAGAAGAAGCGTTTTCCAACTTCGTTCTCCCGCGTTTCGAATACAATCTTCCTAGTGTGTTGTTCTATTGTTACATATTATTATTATTATTTTTAGCTTGACGTGCAAATCTAGACAGGCGTATATCTTTCGGCGAACCGAAGTGTGACACACACACACACACACAGACAAAGAAGCCACTTTCTTGCAACGCGATACGCGCACGCACGTCGGAAAATTTCGAGAAGATGATAGGGAAGGGACGCACGTGTGGAGAGCCGGGGCGGATCGTCCCCCCTCCGGCGCCGATTGTCTTAATCAGCATCGCGTCGGGCGCGGGTTTATCTCGCGTTTGGGCGATACACGCACGTTCGTCCGTCACCGGACACCGAGTACCGGGAACCGGCGTGACGGCGATTCCGTTATCGTCGTCGTCGTCGTCGTCGTCGTCGGCGGCGGCGGCAGCGACGATGTTGCAGAACGACAGAAACTACGACGATCGTCGTCGACGGCGCGCCCCCGTGTGTGTCTCTCTCTCTTTCTCTCAAAGTGCAGTGAATGCATTTCGGATGCTGACGATTACAACAGTGTCTGTCTTATCTGACGACGCGTCGACTGGCGTAAACAATCTCCGTTGATTATCGGCTGTCTCTTTCTCTCTCTTTCTCTTCCTCTGAATCTTTATCGACATTGCTCTCTTGATATTTTTTTTTTTTCGGTATGCAAAACACGCGGCGACGTAACCGGCAACTTTATCTCGAAGCGGCGCGTATTGTCGTTGTTTAAAAGTTTGTCGAGCTACAGGAAGTGAGAGAGCAGCATTCGCGAGGATGTATCGTGCTGACGTTTTATGAACGTTACGAGAATCCACGCGCTGTTTAGGATCGATCTTATCTTCGACGCGCGATCTCAACCTCGCGGCACTTCCGCCGCGCGCGTCTGTTATTTAATAAATTACACAGCGAGCGATCGAAAGCAATTAATTCCGGCCGCGCCACATGTGCGAATCGATATCTTTTTGCATAAATTAATTAATAACGTATAAACGCGATAATAAAATATATACAAGAGAAATAAGAAAAATCAGCGACTCGATGAAAACTTACGATCCCAACTATATTACGCTAATATGATTCGTAATTGTTATTCATAATTGCTACAATTAATGTCATTATTGTTACTTGTTATTGTTATTCATTATTGTTTATCTTTTGAGTTCTCATTACGCGTGCGGGATTTTCATCGAAATTACATAATCATTCGCTATCATCGGTTATCCGCTTAACAGGAAATACATTAAACCTCCGTTTCCCCAAATTACATCGATAATTCTCATTATCTCGATAAATTCACTTTGTCGAATCTTCGATTGTTTTGTTCGATGTCAAGGCGTTTGTTATCTCGTTGAAAATGCATGCGCGTTATATCGTGTCCAAACGAGGCAGTTAAATCGTTCGATAACAGCTCCCGAGGGAGGAGCTGTACGGTCCCGTATTTGACGTTTTTTGTCTGTTGCGGACGCCCACAAGACGCCCCTGTCCCGAGGGGGTCGCCGTAATGCCGCCCCTGAGCGACTTAATTTCCGCCGCGATATCGAACAGCAAACAATTACGGTCGCTTATCCGTCGAATGCGTATTTGTTTTGTCATTAAACATATTATCACTCAGCAAAATCTCACGAAGACAAAAATACACGCAAAGTAAAAATAGAAATATAAAAAAATATCCAAACACTTTTACAAAAGAGTTCAATCAAATATCTGTTAAATATAAAACATACTTTTATTTAAAAAAAAAAAGACTATTTAAGGATATACTCGATATCTTTTTATGCGTATTAATGTAAAATCAAAAACGTGTAGGTGTTTTTTTTTTTAAATTTCTCTCGTGCTTTTATTAAAAGAATATGCAGATCCGGTCGAATCGCGCGCGATCTGGTCATGTCACAACGTCCTCTCTCGCGAGGGAGGAAGTGGGAAGCACCACCGCGGCGCAGGGCCACTGCACACACATGTCATGCCACACGGGGAACGTATCGAATTTCTTATGGCTTCTGTGTATTCCCATGGACGGAGGCAGGAGGTCAGAGATGCGTCTACGAGGTGTTCGCGAATTAACGCATCCGCTCGAAACTTTTGTCTTCGAACAACGAACTGCAATTGACACAAGCATATCAAGTCTCTAAGATCTCGCGAGTGAACATAAAAATGATTATTCTTATATGTCTACACTAAGAAAATTTGAGTTTCAAATTTTATTTTTTGTTAACTCTGAGCTTAAAAAGAAAGAATTTTATTATATATAAAATTATTATTTTTAGAATATTAAAATTGTGTTTGACTCGAATAGGAACATGTAAATTTGCATGAGAAATTCGCGGAATAAGTTTTGTTTTCTGTTCGCATTGAGATTGAAAATCAACAATCGGAACATTATTGATGAAGAGCAAAAGTTAATCGCGAACACCCTGTAGACGTGGTCATGACGATGTCCTACAGACCTATCCGATAACTTTGGGGATATCGTGAATACGCGTGTGCGGCATCATTCGCCGCATATTAATTACAGGAAATCCCACAATGCAACCGCGCATCGTTCCGAACCGTCTCAATATATCGCGGAAATATTGCGTTCACGTTCGTTCCGATCGATCGTGCGATCTTTCCCGAATATTTGTTGATGTGCTTGTCGCCAAAAAAAAAAAAAAATAGTTCAAATATTTTCGATTATTAACCATTCTTCATCGTGTCACAGCGGACCGACAATTTTGCGAAAAAAAAAATCGCGGAAGCTACGATTTTGAAGAAAATATCGTTCCGTAGTGTCACAAATCGCGCTCGTATTAAAATCGATAAGTCGGCTCGCAACGAGAAGAAGGAAGAGAAAGATTATCGAGTGTGCATGCGACACAACGCGCAGCGAAAGGCATCGCGTTACGTACATAGTTATGGGGGCCTCGGCTCGCTTCTAAAATCGGATGTAGAGCAACGACCTACCAAACAACACACGAGAACTCGTACGGGAGAAGCGCGAGCGCGTCTCTATCTGCGAGAGAGACGAAAATTCCACCGCGTCCGCCAATTATACAACTCGGCGTATCGTCGGACGCTTAAGAAGAACACTGCCGGATGTCATTTGTTTGATGACGTGCTTAATGAAACTCGTCGCCTTCCAATGCGGTTGCTTTTAACAGAAACGAGATTTCTCTCTCATTTCAACGCAAATTCGGCGGTTTGTCAATTTTGTTCAACTAGTATTTAGTTTTCTATGCAAAACAGCTTAAATATTTAAATTTTATCTTTTATTATTATGTTGTCTATATTTTTCAGAATAAAATTGTTTTATTTTTTCGATTTTTTTCACGAACACGAGCTGTTCTCTCATGTGTTTGACAGTTTGTTTAATTAAATAAGAGTTTATAGGCTTGTGTTGGCCATTTTATTTCTGTTTTTCTTCATCAATTTTATTTTTTATTTATCGAAGACTCACCTTTGCTCGGCGGCTCGATCTCTCTGCCTTCGGTTCTTGAACCAATTGCTGACCTGCGTGGTAGTGAGACCGGTGCTTTCCGCCAATTCTCGCTTTTCGCGCGGCGACGGATACGGATTGGTGGCGTACCAGTCCCTCAGGACGCTTCTGGACTTCTCCTTGAAGCAGTAGGACGTCTCCTCGCCGTCCCAGATTGTGCGCGGCAGCGGAAACTTGCGACGTACTCGGTACTTTCCTGAGAACAAAAAAATATCGTCTAATCTCTCGTTAAGATCATAAATTAAGGTAACGAGATGTAATGAAATCTTAACTGCAAAATACTGTCACAAATGCATTGCAAGTACATTTAAAACTTAAATATGTTTAATGTCTTTTAATAAAATATATTGTGTGATGATCGCGAATTTTCGCGTTGTCGAGGAAAACGGAAGAGGAAGCGGCACTTTGATTCTCCTAACGCGTGTACACGTCTTGTTTTCCGAGCTTCTCTTTTTTGATGACGGATTTGGTTTCTGGGCCGAGTGCAACGACGACGACGGCGGCGGCGGCGGTGGCAGCGGCGGCGTCGTCGTCGTCAGTTTCACGCGCGCAAATAAGCCCGAGCGAGTGAAATAGGGCCAAGTCTATATTGCTCATTAAGCTTGGATCACATTCGACAATAACTTAACCCGTGTTCGTTCGGTTTGTTAATGTCGAGACGAAGCGACGGCAGCGCGTTTTTTTTTAATCGCGTGATGCTTCGCGCAGCGAAAATTAAACGCACCGCGTTTTAAAATCGCGAAATTTAAACGTCGGATATATTATACACGGGTTAAGTTTAAATTCTTAATAACAATAAATTCGAAATTATATTCAGGGATATACTGGATGAATATCTCGCGAATCGAAGAATATATTGTTCATAAACAACCGCAAAACGAATTATTTGAAATCCAAAAGTGCGTAAAATACGCGTGAAAATTCCTTTGCCGCGCAGCAAGTCGTGGTATTTATGATAATGTTTCAGTAATATTCGCATTGTATCACATTATTGTTGTTATTCCGAGATAATATAAGAGAAGAAGAGTAAAAATAAAATAGTCAGTGATCCAGTCTCTTCTGAAATTATATACCTATTATATTTTGCATAGTTTTTACGACTGCGACTTGTGCGTACGTGAGGTTTACGATTTTTCTCTGAAAATTAATAGAATCATATCTCCTGTGAAAAATGAGGAATATTAAAGTAATCTTTAAAACACATTCGCGCGCACAGCGCGCATTTTCCGATTTTTCTTATAAGGATCAAGAAACACAGCATAAATATTTGCGCGCACTCACGTTTCACGGATATTTTATTTCCTAATGAAAAAAGGTTGATCGTGCGCTGCAGTAAGCTGCTTGCACTTTCAGCAGCTCTTTAATCTATCCGGAGCGTTGCACAATTAATTTATCCGCCTTCAGAGAAAAAAACGTGCTCTGTTGAACTTACTTGGTGTCTCACGTTACTTTTTTCATCGACTTAATGTTAACTAGTTTCCGCGTAAATCAATTAACATAAAAACTGAAGAGAGGCTAATACAATCCTTGCTAAAAATAATTGTTTAACAAATCGATTTTGTTCGAATAGCTCGAAATTTTTAACAGCGACCTTGAAAATCAACGAGAGTTCGTCAAAAGAGACGACGTCGATGCAAAACTCTCGTTAAGAGTTTGCAAAAGTAGCAATTCATAAAAATAGCAAAATTTCTCAATAGCTAATATGTGAATAATAATTGTTATGGCGGTAATAATTATATCAATGATTCGCGTTAGCCTTGAAAAATGTTTTTTATTTGAAATCTACTAGTTATTATCATCTATAGTTTACTTTTAATTAGAAATTTTCCAATTTTACTGACCGACTGCACCGAGCGGCCTGCCACGCAATCTCTCGGCCTCGATGTAGTGCGCCTTGAGCCAGAGAGCCTGCAGCTTTGGATGATTATTCGGGCTGAAGGTATGGCTCTCCAAGATCCTGTAAAGCTCCTTGAACTGGCCCCGATGAAAGGCGACGATCGCCTTCGCTTTCAGCACGCTCTCGTGCCGGTGCAATCTGGTGCACGCCGGCAACGACCAGAGAAATCGGCTGAGCCTCTCCACGGAGCCTGCCTGCTGGAGAACCTGGACATTCGACACCATCGCCTTGAAGACGATAGACAGGGGGGGCACACTGTTAGTCGGCAAAACTCTCATCCCGGATCTCCTCTTATTCTAGTGTATCTTGTATATATGTCTCTCGCATTCACTTCGTTCAGCTGGAAATCGTCTCGTCGTAATTAGAGAAAGAGAAAGAGACGGTGAGAATAATCGAATGCGATTTTCGAGAAAACCTATCAGATCAGATAGTGAAGTTCGAAGGATGATCAGGATGTCTATTTTCTATGTCGGTATTATCGTTTATACGAATATAAGTAATTTTGATCGATCGAGTTTGGTCACGAGCACGCAAAAATGACTCGTGTCTCAGAGCGATTGGAATAGCCGATTTCTCATATGCAATTCGACGAATCTCGGGAAATATACATATATATCGCATAAAATATTTTCGAACGTTCGATATAATGTTGGAATCGATAATTGCAAGCGGAAGTTTTGTGCATTTATAGTTCGTAGATTTCCGTTATAAACACAACCTACCTATAAACTTTCTCGAAGAAAAACACTTTTGTAAATTTCTCGAACATTCGGAAAAATTCGTTGAAAGAATAGATCCATACTTTTTAATAAAACAATATTAAAGAGAGATCATTAAAGAAAACATGACAATCGGCAATGTAAATCAAACAGTCTCTGCGATTCTTCTTTCTTATTTGCTTCTTTGACGTTTAACATTTGTATAAATTTCTCGAAACGATTATTAATGAACTTAAACGCTCGTGTAACACGATCCTAAGTAGAACTATACGTCAATTTTATTTTGTCGTGTTCAATTCGTTTTATCGACACGCCGAATCATGTTATCTCCTTTCACACATTCTCCCGCCATATACCACCCGTAATTAACCGCCGCGGATTCCGTTTGAGAAATGAGTTATCTATTCACCAGTATCACAACCGTACATATACATATATATGTATATATATATATATATCGGCTTTCGCATCACTCGCTGACGTTTATTCAATATCGCGCGCCGTAATATAGCCGATCTAGATATTACCTTTAATTTACACGCGTTATACCGATTTGCTAAAAGCGCAATACCTAGATACAGCAATCGCGTAAAATCCAAATATACATATACGCCATGACGTCATTTGATCTTAATTACCTTTCAGTAAAATAAACACAAATCATGTGCGCATTATAATTATAATTATAATCATAATTATTATTATCGTTGTCTTTCTCTTTTATAGTTTTAGCGCGACGTTTTCGTCTCTTTTCAATGTTTATAAATATTATTGTTTACAAACATAAATATTGTACATTTAAAATTTCTGTATATTTGCGTGTTCTCTCTCTCTCACACACACACTCTCTTTTCCAATTGTTTTATATTATTATATTAAATTGTAATCGAATTATTTGTCGTGTGTTTTATCGTTCTTTATTTAGTTCGCAACTCGTTCTTCTAATACGTCGCGAAATCTATTTGTGTGAGCAAAACGTACAGTTGGAAGTCAGGCTGACGTAAGAAAAGCGCGAGTTTCCTACGAGCGAAATTAATCGCTACCTTCTAACTCTAAATTAATTGCCGCGATAGTATGTCCGGCAACGCGAAATTAAGACGTCGATTGTACGGATCTTTAATCAACGCTTAATTAGCGATATGAGCTCTGTACACTTGTCATCTTTGTCTGCTCGCTGTCGTCGCGGCGGATGTCGCCGAATTTCCGCGGTAACGGCCAATTAATTACGTAATGGCCACGTGGCGTAATGAGGAATGAGAGTGTCACGTCAACCGAGAGAAGAGAAATGCGCGGATCTCCCCGAGATCTGGTTGTAGCTGCAACCGTCCATTGCACAGCTACCGATAAAAAAAATCGCGCGTCATGTGACTTCATACAGAACTGAATGACGAAAAAATGCAACACGGTTCAAATTTCATGTAAATAATAAAAATTTTCATTGCGCGATGTACACGTTGTGAAAAATAAAAAAGCACGTAACGTGAACAAGAGATATTTCAATACTAAAAAAATTTTACTATTTTTTAATTTTTTGAAAGATCGAAATGATTAAAAATAAAAAAAATACTTGGATAAAAAATATTAAAGATGTCAAATATAAAATAAAAAAACAACAACGCAATTTTTATATTGATATATTAGCTACGTTGTTAAAATGGAAGTTAAAGTTGACGTTCTATGGAGTTTAAAGTTGACGTTCAATAAATCTAACCAGATTTACGCATTTATTCATTTTTATATCGTCACTTTGTCTTGAAAATTGGAGTCTTGGACGAGAATAGATCGATCGGCAACCGCTGGAGAACGCTTGTTTTGTGTTTTGAAAGGAAAATAATCTTATACTCTTGATTATTACCTCGTATGATACAAGACAACTAGCGCCCACGTGTCACAGATCAAATACGATGACAAATATAACATAATGTTTTTCCACAAATCAAATAAGGAACTTCAATTTTGCGTCTCGCTTTAGTATGCGAGTTAAGAGAAAAAATTCGGTGTGTTTTTTAAGAATCGAGAATTGCATTCAGAAATTTGAAAAAATGTCTGCGTGACGTGGGCAAGGAGTTAAAAGTCTAGCCGCATGATTGTAACGTTAGCACAGGGATATATGCACGTGCAAAACACGAGTGTTGTTTATAATAATAAGTCTTAACACTGCAGTGTCGATCACTTCCGCGTTTGGCAAACTTATCCTTTTACATATTTGATATTATCGAATATCACTGAAATTCATGAAAGTCAATCCATTTTGACTTAAAGAAAAGTCCAAATATTATAAAGTACAGAAAATTTATTTTCATCATATTAAAAAAACATAATACAATCAAGTAAAAGAGCTTTTTTTATTGAGTAATAAATTAAGATTTTTGTTTTTCACATATATACATATATATGAATCAATAGAATTATATAAATAATAAGTAAAGTTAAATCGGATTTAATTTAACTGCGTGCGTTTCGAGATTCTTTCTTGAATTCTCTTCTGTCAAAATTATATCATAGATTATTATCGTTGAATTATTATTAAATCCCAAATATATGTTTAAGATCAATTACCGGAAAATAGCGAGCTTCGAATTTTATTGATAAGAGCACATAATCTTCAGAAACAAAATTATTACTCAAAATAATGTGTATTACGACAAAGGATGTAGTAAATAAAGAATTTGACGAGGATTCTGCCAAGTGCGAAAGTGCTCGGAAACAGGACGAGTTAACACGTGGGACGTTCGATGTGAGGGATGTAAATGTCGCGCGCACGACAATTTATGGTTAAAGTAAAATCGTGCAGATTTCATTAAGCGTGTGACATGCAGGCGAATTTCTGGCGCGTAACGCTGCACTTTGTCGGCGATATACCACATTTGCGTCACGAGTACAATTTCATTATGGATCTCCGTCTGTTTAAACACGCGTAAACCGATAGTTATCGCGATGATGAATTTTTTTTTTTCGAACGAAAACGATGGAGACTCGATTCTTCCCGCAAACTCGCGTCATTTTAAGAAACTCCCAACGTCAAATGAAATTCTCGCGATGCGAGAATAACGACAGATTTTAATAAGTTTCGCGAGAGTTATTATATAATAAAAAAAGTACAGCGATTGCTTGCTAAAACGCTATCAGTCGTCATTATCAGCTGTGCGTCGCGAAATATTGTGCAAAGATATCTCTCTCTTTATATACGGTGTAATGCGAATAAAATTGCGAGAATAAGAACTCGCGGTGCAAAACAACCGCGTCGTTATGCAGTTTGCGATGCTGAGTTGCGAGAAGTGTTTGTATCTTCGAACGGACATTAATTGAAACGTGAATAGGCCGTGTGTTTTCTATAAACGCGACGCGCGGCGTTCAACGGCTGATTGCACCCTCGCGAACACAGTCTTGCACAATAAGCAGGAAATCCTTTAATAAGAGTCACGAAGTGACACCTTGATTTCGAGTTGGAAAACGTCAAAAATATCACATAAGTAAAAAAAAAAACGTAAGAGTGATAATAATATTTTCTTGGAACAATTTTTCGAGATAAATAATAATTTACAATTTCTTCATTCAGATCATCAAAATCCAAGAATATTAAAAGGAATAAAGAAGAAAACCTAGTGTTCACAACACAATTTTGTTTCTTTTTTCGATTTTTTTAAGGACTATCGCACGCAAATGACATAGCTGCACACGCAGAGCACAAGACACCATTTGAACCAATGAGCGTCTAGCGTAGCATATTTTTACGTTATGTTCCGTAAATCACTATGGTGACTTTATGCTATATGCTTATTGGTCTAAATAGTTTTATATTATGCAACTATGCTATTTTGTGTGTGCGATAGTCCTAACATTTTCAATTTTCTCTTATTTTTTCTTTCTAACAATTCCTGCCTATTAAATTGTCAGTATTTTCGTGTCTCTTACAAAGAACGACTTCCTGCAGTGAACAAAACCGATAAGCACGACTTACCTCGCAAACGCACGCGACCTGCTCCTGCGTGAAGCCGAAACTCGGCAGCTGGCCGTTACCGCTGCCACCGGCGGAGCTGGCAGGGCTGTCTTGGGGACTGTAGCTGGCCGCCCCGGTTGCTCCGGGTGTGTACGCGCCCTCCACCGTGGCACCCGTGGCGCCCGAGTGCCCGGTCAAGGGCGTGGGCGTACTCTGGGGACTGTAGTCGCCGGCGGCGGTGCCCAGCACGTCACCTCCACCGCCACCGCCACCGCCGGACGACGTGCCCATCGCGCCCCCGTAGGCCATCATGGCTGTGTCATCGCCGGGGTCCACCTCGACCCCACGCACGGCACCACCGCCCTCCACCGTGGTGACACGAGCCTCGTCCTCCCCGCTTCGCGTGTGCCACCGGATGATGGACCGCGTCGCCGATCACGGGGATATCCTGCCGCCGACGGCCACGCTGCAGATGAGAAAAGAAATCTCTCACTCGCCGTTCATCTTCCGCGAGTTCTGGATCCTTCCTGCAGGATCACTGATGTCAATTTCTCGAACGTCAGAACGGAAGCATTGCGCGACGCGGTGGCGATATTTTCTTCTGGGAAGCGTCGGTTGGAGAAAGTATCAATGCGAAATGATATGTCAAATTTGTTGAGAGGTGAACAATCTGTCACTAATTTTGATTGACTAACTATTGATAATAAATCACTAGATAGTGAGCTTATTGTTAAAACGTCTCTTCTTTTCTACGTGCTCTGTTTCACATCATTCGTCGAAATTCAGAGTCATTGAACCGTGTCGCATTAATTTAAAGAATCGTATTACACTTTACTGTCTAACTCGGAGCAAAACATCGCGAAGTTCTTTCACGTTCCCTCTGACAAATCATGGTTCTGTCAGTGCGGCCGTCCGGAGCGTCGTCGTACACTGTCGCACTCATCAGATGATCGCGGTCATCTGATCGACAAGATCCGCACAACGATTCTCAGTATGTAGTTTGATAGACACGTACGGCGATAAAAATCATAAAGAAATTTTGATAGAAAATTGATGGGATATTGACGAGAATCGCAACACTTTCAGGTTGCGATCGATGTTTTTTACTTCTTTTGAATCTATTGCAAGTTGCATTGTAACATGTCAGCTTTGTTATTAGCTCTTCCTGAATATTACTCGTGTGAATTCAATTGGTTCTTAGCTGGAATTGTTACCAGTTCGCGTGTTATAACATAGACTCTGAGTGAAGGTTAAATCACTCTCGAACGACATGTCGAATCCGATAACAATCCGACAATAATTCGCACTATTTCCTTCGCTGTTCTTTCCGCCTTCGACGCACAGGTTGCACCGTGAAATCCACGGGCTCGTGTTTCCACGGGGCCAGAGAGATCGTATTTATAGACCGCTTCGTACACTCGTGAGCATGCCGCTATTATTAGAGGCGTCTTAACGAGCGTCTCCCTCGCTCTCTTTGAACCCCATCGACGCCGCTCGTCGCAACGCTTCTCACGAACGCCGCACGAGGAATCTTCAAATTCTCTCTCACCTTTTTCACCGGAGACGACGACGAAGACAAGCTTCCAGTCGTTGTCACTCCCGTTGCTTCTCACACGGGCTCACTGTCCGTAAGATCAACACCAATAAATAATCCCACTGATTCACGCACCAGATTACGTCTCGGAATGAGAGCCAAGAATCTTAGTCTTTTTCTCGACGTACTTTAGATTCTCAAAGTGGACGCAGATCGTGTCTTCCTCAGGGCTGCGCCTTCGCGCGGAATCGCCGGGTGCGCCGGAAAATTCCACTCGCAAACGGTCCTTGATGTCTGACTCACCCAATCAAAACGTCTTACGTATAGATTGTGTACCTTCGAGAACTATATTTATTTCCAAGATACTTTTGTCACCAAAAACCAACTCGTCGATTCAGCTCGAAGAGAAACGGAGCGTCGTGGAGTTTCGACACTTGTGGGTGCTTTCGTGCGATCTCGATCCGGGATTGTTCCGACAACTTGTTCTCGACACACGCACTGGATTGTCTCTCTCTCAAAGCACAATTCCGATTGCAATCGTGATCCAAATTAACGCGATTGCAGCAACTTCGCGAAGCGGCGGATCAATGGACCCGTTCTTGTCTCTCTCGCAGCCGCGGGTGAGAGAGACACTCTCCTGACGCGCGCACCAGAAGGGACTGGCGATACAGCGGCGTTTCTACCAGGAGAATCGGAGTAACGTCATGCGCGACGTGGCGCGCGGATTGGCGGGGGGCGTGGCCCGACTGACAGCTGTGTGACGCGCGGCGCTATTGGCCGCTGGGCATGGCCGTAGCCACCATACCGTCTCGGGATTGGCTGCGCGCGCGCGCCACCAAATGAGCCTCGTTACGGAGCTCTGTCCGATAAACCGAGCGAGCGCGGTGTCGACGAAAGAGAAAAGAGAGAAAGAGGGAAGATAGACTGAGAGAGAGAGAGAGAGAGAGAGAGAGAAAGAGAGAGAGAGAGAGAGAGAAAGAGAGAGAGAGAGGGAGAGAAAAGAGACGCGATTGCATCCAGACCGCGGATCCTTCGGAGGAGCTCGTTAAATTCCGGCTTTTCTGAATGTGTCTGTCTGTTCTCTTAATGACGCCAGGACGACGCGAGTTTTACATCGATGCATGTAAATCTGGAAAATAGCGCGTATACAATTCACCCTGTTATTTCGTTCTTCATCAATCCAGCCGCAACGAACAGACTGTAAGGAAAATACAAAAACTACAGCCAGAACAAAACAACGAAAATACAATCGTTGTTGCGCAGATTTGTGTGTCGCAAGAGATTGTGTTACGTCGTGATTAAATAATCTATGAAACTGTAACCAAAAAATTGAAAATCAAAAAAATATGTATTAAATAAATAATATATATAAATATATATAAATATACAGGGTGTCTCAGAATTGGTTTAACATCTCTTGTAGGCAGGTAGAAGGAATAAAACTGAGTCGAAAAGTCCTATACCATTTTGCTA